GGCCCTCAAAGCCAACGTGGATAAACATCAGTAGCTAAAGCCTTTCACGATTGCTGCACGATTAATGGCAGGCGATCAATGAAGGATTTACAATGTCAAGCTGCTAAACCTTTCTCCTGATTCCCATTAACAGGGTTGATGGCAACAACCGGAGCATGAACAGTGACGTCAGTACACAGACATACACACGCTTGTCTTTTTGTCAATTTGTAACTTTACTGGTGGATGATTGATAAGATTGTATTGCGCTGGTGAATGTAGTGTCACTATTACAGCATAGTAGCAGTAGTTTGTGATAATCAAGCTGAATTAACTTTCATTAATGGAGCGCCAGTGGATGAGAAATTGATTTTTATTCATTTTCATCCCACAGAGTGATTTCAGTCTGGTTTTGGTTTACACAAATTCACTCATGCTAACCATCATGTTTTGGGATTTAGGTACATGTGACTCAATTTTGCATTTTATCCAGCAGTGGTGGATGTTTTCTTACTACAGTGGATAACCACAGCTAACCAGTGACAAACATTTCACATGTACTTTCCAGAAAACAACCCTCCTAGGTTGGGTTACCAAACTTACTGCTGATGCCATCTTTCTCTTTCTTAAGAGAATCATATCATACACAGTTTTATGGTTTACAGAATTGTTAATTGTGACACTATTTGTTGTAAATGAAACCTACAAGGCCACTGGCATGGTCCTTTAAAGCTAAAGTTTTACCTGTAACCTCTCAGCCACCAGAACACAGCTGTGGATTAGCATTTCCTTTCTAGTCCTCTTCCAGACTTTCCTCTTTGCCTCCTCTGTTCTTTTCTCCTCCTTTTTCCACAACCCAGAGGTGAGTCAATCATTTCCAGATGACAACAGCATCTCGCTCAAAGATAAATCAGTCACCGCACGTAGGATTGTTTTTGTTGTAATACCAGACAGATATTTCCTGGGAGGTTTATGGAAGTGTTTGTGCTGCCATTTCCAGACGGATGGAACCAGGCAGAGATGGGGATAAGGACCAGGACAGAGAGAAAATGAATCAATTAATTTATTATGTAGCCAAGCACACATTTATGTATGATGCCATTAGGCATTTTTTTGTTATTTATTAATCAGCATTTGTTTAATATATGTTCTATATAAAATGACAACTGTAAACAATGAGCTGTGGCATTGTGCCATATTGAATGGCAAAAAACTTTCTGAGAATACTACGAATACCAAGATATTTAAGCACAGGATTTATAATGTTATTTAACAACATATGCTCAGATAATTTTTTTGGTGCATTGGAAGTCTGGTGGAGTAGCTACATGTTACATTAAAAGTTACTGTACATTATGTCATATTTTTTTACTTTTGTAATTTTGGCTATAATACATTAATGTAAATAAATATTTGAGCTTGAACTTTTACAACCCTAACCCGTGTATAACCACTAATAAAAAAATATTTTGTGGAAAAATTGAGAGTTTTTTTGGAACATTTTACATGTTGTTCTTTTCACACATTTGTCACGCTTTTTAAAGCCTCTAGAGAATAAATCGCTTTGAGTCATTGCAAATGGCTTTGAACAAAACCATTTGTGCCAGGAACATTCAACAGCTCATACGGTCTTCAAAAGAAATATTTAAGATAATATGCATAATCTTATTTTTCCACCAGAGTCAGTCTTTTTCCACTATGGAATAAAAGCTCAATCTTAAGAACAAGATTACTACATTTCACAGTTACTTAATTTGTTTACATCACCTCACTGGTAAAGTGTTGTGAGAATTACAAAGCCTTAATCAGCTCAGAAAATCATAAGGAGAGCTCCTTAATGGTCCGAATAACTTACAATAAAGAGGATACAGTATTTTCCTAAAAGTGAGCCTTATATGCAATCATAAAGTTTCCTTACTAGAGTCATTCTTTCTGGGAAGGTCACTCAGCTCTCACTTTTCAGATTGAAGCTCAACCTTTCTTTGGTGATGCTAATTTGTCACAGCTGAGAGATCAGCAGAGCTCCAAAGAACTTTCACATGTGCAGCATTTCTGCTGCAGGCCGTCTTATCTCACGACCCCACGTTAAGCTTCTGGTTTGCAGACCAGGAAGCAGGTAACAGGTCTGCTGCCGGGAGCTTCTGGGGGAATCTGGGTCACTTGACTAGACATAGCATCACCCTGGATGCTTGGTTTTGATCTGTTTGATCATGAGTAGGATGTAATTTTGCCTGCATCTTAATTTGAAACACTTGTGTCTCACGTTGGGATCCTTGAAGTCATTATTACCTTACAAAAGATCTCACAGCACTGTTCAAAAAATATAATCCTGCGCTCCATTACCATAAAACACCTCTCCTTCTCTGTGGTGTTTTCCTCTCTCTGTTACCATATCAAACCAAAGCATGGCACCAGGCCTCTGTGCTTTCAGCATGCAGCTCTCTGCACCATCATGTCCTTCTATGGCAAATACAAGAGACCCAGCACAGAGGGCTTTTAAGGATACAGCTTGACATCACTGCAATAACGACTCACTGAGCTCCCTAAGTGGTGCTTTCCTGTCCTCGTGTGGCTGCAAAATGCAAATACATCTGTATGATATATTGATCACAAATATTAATTTACTTAAGTTAAAGTACTAAAACCACACTGTGAAAATATTCCACTATACTTAAAAGTCGAAGGTCCAGTGTGTAACATTCAAAAGGATCTGTTGGCAGAAATGGAACATAATATTTGGGTATGTTTGAATTAGGGTATAATCACCAGAAAATAAGAATCATTCTAGTCATTTCATTGATTTCAAGGGGAATCCAACAGGCATTAAGAATACCTATAGAGAAATAGCCAATCTTATCGCTAATGGTCTTGTTTATGTAGGTCATATAGAGGCATCAGTATTAAATTGAGACTGTTTCATAACCAGTTAAAACTCCTTGTAGTACATTTAAGTATAAGTATGTAAGTATTATCAGAAGAACTGACTTAAAGTTTCAAAACTAAAAGTTACATAAAATTGAATAACTGAACTACAAGTACCCTGAATTTGTACATAAATACAGTATGTGCTTGCACTTTTAACATGTAATTTTATAATGTGTATAATGTTTATGGGCCTCTTGCTGTCACAGTTTGGTTTAATTCTTTCAAAGCAAGCACAGGTTGAGATTAACTGCTGCTAAACAGCAGTTATTGTGGATGTACAATCAAGTTCCCTTTAAGATCCACCCAACGCAGTTTACTGAAAACCAAAAGGAAAAGTCTGTTTATTTCTAATTAATTACTAATTTGCTATTTTACCAATTGCTATAAGGCAACAAATCAATGTCAATAGCCTACACATTTCAAACAAATGTCTTTGTCAACTGGCACTACAATAAAAGTAAAGTAGAACTTAAAATCATGCTTACTGTCTAATAAAGAATATATTAAATATAAAAGCCAACATGACACTGCAATGGGAGTCACTTCTACAATGTACAGTAGTTGACACATGTTTTTTTTATTGTGACTGTTACTCTTCAGTGACCTCCTCAGATCATCAAATACTCTCTGAGGCATATGTGACACTTTTTGAACGTACAATTACACAATAACATTTGTACTGGAAGCTGTCTTTTGACCACTTTAAGTGGTGAAATATATGCACTATTAGAAATATTAAGATGATCCAAGCAGAAAAAGAACGGACCCTTTATATGGAGTTTAATTACTGGCCCTTAAACCTTAACTCGTGTATGCTTAAGGTTTGGCTTAAACTTAAGTTATAGTGACCTCTAGTGGCATCAAAGTGATTTCTCCAGCTCAAAAGAAATCATGCTGAAGAGACTATGTGACTTGTTCCAGACAATAAGTGGTTATACTCTTGAACAGTTAAATAAAATACTAAAATACAGAGCTTACTGGACCCTGTGTGTGTTTATGTAATCACCAACAGGATTCTCATCTATATATTTGCCATATACTTAAGTACCATACAGTACAGTGTGTATACCTGTAGACCGATGTTATACTGATGTATTTGCTTCTTGCATCCACAAGGTGACACAATATCACTGAAGTTTAAGTTTTTTTTATTAGTTTTATGGTTTTATCTTCAGACTATTTATGGAGCAGTGTCACAACCCTGAGGTCCAAAAAAGTTAGTGATGTGCTCGGAGATGCACTCAACAAACAAATGCTGCTGCTCTTAAAGATAAAGGGTTGAACATGTACAATGGAGGAAACTTATTGGGAGTTTTGATAAAAAGCCTTTATTGGTTACATGTCTTGTTTATGACAATCCTGTGCAGATCTTCATCAGGGTTTCAAATGAGGAGCCAATACCTGGCCTCACCCACTTTTATACATTCATTCAGGGGTGTGTCCTAATTAAGTAAGTGGGACAGGTGGGAGATAATGATCATTTATGGATTACTTCCCTTAACTTTCGCAAACTACTAAAACTGTTGAGAAACAAATCAAACACGGTTAAATACAAAACATACTTACATACAATTACATAAATTCTATAATTACGCCTGGATATACTGTTCAAGTTTGAAAAATCCCAAAACTCCCTCTCTTTCTTTCTGGTATTTTGTATATTGCCTCAATGATAGACTTTCTGAAGCTAAATGTGCAATAAAACATAGACTATCCTTTGAAGAGGCACAGAAGCAATGATTGTTTAATGAGGTTTGGAATCGATCAACCCGTCGGTTAGGGGTGGAGACCGTTTGCACACGCTCCTCCAGAGTAAGAGTAATTGGATTTTTAGACTTGATGCAACAGTATATCTGGACATAAATGAATGAAGAAACATTTATTTCATTAATATTTTGCATAGTGTGTCTATTATTTGAGTCAATACCACATGTATCGTTATTTGGAGATTTCAGTTGTTTTGTTTGTGATATCTTAGAGAAGAACAACATTTATGATCTCGCACCTGTTGTTCAATTGGGTCACACACCTGATTGCGCTTAGAGAAGGGTCAGGACAGTGATCACACTGACCTCTGTTACAAAAACCAGACACACTCACAATAAACACTTTATTTTCACCATGAAAAATAGACAAAACATCTCAATATACAATGACTGTTAGCTGACCATTTCCATGTTTCAATATTTTCATAACTTTTAATTTCTATTCTCTGGTTTCAAATATACATTCTTTTGTCTTTTATTTACACCAGTTCATGTTAATGGCCAAATACAGAAAAATAGATATCACATATCTCACAAACTGTAACAAGAATCTCAAATACATTACAGCACAAAGTACAAAAAGACATTCTTTGGGTTGGTGGGTGAGTTAGTCCAAGCAGATGTTGTTGCACAAGCTGCCTACAAATGCAGTCAAATTTGTGTCCAAAAATCACCTGCAGTATTTCACAGACTACATCTGTTTTCATCATCAACTGGTTTCATTTAGTCACACCAATAGCGTTGGAGTGCCTTCACTTCACAGTCTTATGTGCTTTGAGGAAGCCAAAACTGCACAGATTATGTGCCTTTTCTCTCTCGCTTACTGTGCGTTTATTTATTCTCTTTGAACCTCTTTCATGTTTCACTTCAAATGTAGTCGAAATGATTCAGCAGAGAACGAAAGACAACTTGTTTTCTACGTTACGTTGGGAGCAGATGAGCGAATGTAGGCACACACAGCTTTCCCACATCTTTTTTTTAAATGCAACTAAGGTATCACCACCTGTGAAATATGCTGTATATATAGGATGTTAGAAGCCACAAGATGCGTACCTCCTCTATTGCTCCCTTCCAGTACACTGCTTGTACAGTCTGTCTGCTGCTCTCTGTGAACATTAACTGTACATTATTCCATTAGTCTAACCCTCACTGGAAATACGTGAGTTAAATGTTCTCAGCAGTTGCTCCTGCATCAGTACCTGATTGCAGCGGAGCAGTGTGGCACAGTAGATTTTGGGTTTTAAAGCCCAATAAAGAAAGAAAGAAATACCTATAAATGAGGCTTGTGCCGTCATGGCGTCTTTTCCTCCAGAATACAATAGCAGCATTGATGAAAATCAATTTGCAATCATACGTAAGTCGAGGTATTTTTACATTTTTCACACCTCACTGTCTGAAGGAACATATGCAAATCCACTTTGGTAATTGCTGATTCATGACGCAGACACAACTGATTAAAAGGTGCACATTTTCATTTAGATGCAGTCTGAGAGTCACAGCTGGGGTTTGCTGTCTTGTGGTTGAGCTGTGAGTTGCCTTGTGTTGGGAGCAGTTCTGAACTGAGGCAGGTACAGCGGACAAAAGCCATGTGTCGATGTTGACAGCAGCTCGCTGGAGTCCTCAGGTCCCAGCAAAGGGTGCGACTCCACAGGACAGTCCTCTCTGTTCAAAACTACATTTTTAAGCAGCTCAATTTTTGTCTCCTCTTCTCTCTGCTCCCCATCTTCCTCGCTGTCCTCATCCTCTGCACGATAGTCCATTCCTAAATAATACAAGTCCTTCTCCTCTCTCACCACCTCTTCGTCTCCTTGCTCTGATGTTTCAGAAAGCTCCTCCACAGAGTTGTAGGAGCGGGAGCGTCGTGGGTCATCCAGCTCCCACAGGCCACCGGGGAAAGATCCAGAAATGTCTGAGTTGTTGGCAGAAAAATTGCCTTCATCACTGGAGCTGCTGCCACTACCATCCTTGTAGTGGAGATGAATGGGCTGCTGCTCCTGCTTCGGATCAGAGAGCAGGACAGTGGCGTACGTGACTGAAGACTGGGCCGAGCTGTCAGTGCTGCCTCGGGACTGGTCCCCTGGGAGGTTATCTAGCTGTAACTGATCAATTTCTGGGCTTGAACTGGTTAAATCATCTAGATTAAGTGCAAAGGAAAGAGCTCCACCTTGGAGCTCCTTACTCTCCAAGGATGGGGCTTGGTCAACCTCTGAGTCAAACCCTGGAGGAGGCAAGGTAGTGGCTGGGTCGGGAATTAGGGACACAAGTGGGGTTTGGACTAACACCGTAGTCAGAGCTGAGAGATCAACCTTGTCCACTATGACAACTTTGGAAATATTCTCCGACGGAAAGAGCAGCGGCCAGGGTGGGAGGCCCTCTGGAGGTCGGAACAGGTGATCAAAGGTATCAGCCTAGAAGAATAGAAAACAAATATAAAGGGCAAAGTAGCAGCATTAGTTTTCAGAATTTGAGCTGGTATACAAATAAAAAACATATTAACAAGAGAAGAGATCGCAGAGATTCCAATTATAATGAAAAATGATTAAGAAGGGAGATGAACTGCATATTTTCAGTTACTGTATTACACCCTGGATGTAAACGACTTACATAATAGCCTACAAGATGTTTCCATTTCCATACTTATCAGTGATTAGTGATAGATAAAAAAACACAGAAAGATAACTTCAATTTACACCACAGCCCTATGGTATACAGGTGTTATAAAACAGAACGCTGTGCAAATGCATATTGTATTGAGTTAAAGGAATAGTTAAAAGGAATAGGAATAAGAAAATAGATTTAGATGAGAAGAGCAACACCAGTTAGCAGAAGTTACAGTTAGTTTAGCTTAGCATAAAGACTGGCTATGTCTAAAGGCAAAAAATTTGCCAACCAGTCCCTCTTAATGTCTAATTAACTAATTAACATGTGATACCATGAGTTTGAATGCATGTCGCTGTAGTTTCACATTCATTTTTACCTTTTTGAAGTCTAGTCCTTTGGCCCAGGAGCACTTGTTTGGGTTGGGCACATCCTTCCACATAAACTTTTTCATCCTGGAAAGCAATGCAGCAGATATTGAGGTTTCTTTCTGTCTAAAGGCTTTTTTACTCCCTCCCTCCCCTACCTCCCATCAGCTAACATCAAGTGTAATTACACCCTTGCGACCTGTTAAATGTCACACTCCTTATTTTTCATGGTCACTGTCACTGCTCTCTAAATTAGACTGCACCCCAGAGATTTATGCCATTTATCATTTCTTACAGGTGTCTAAGTAAATAAAAAAATCGATATACACTGATGCAGTATAATTAATACCTTGCACAAAAATAAATATGAAAAAAATAACTTTAAGATATGCATGTAAGTGTCATGCTGTTGTAGTATTAAAACAAGCCAAACTCATTTAACATCAGATCTTCTTAATGGTTATTTTCATCCTTTTGAGTTTAACTGAATTTAATTCCTGTAAATACATCTTTGGGGTTTCACGAGCGCTTACTGGTTTTGGGAGAGGACCAGGGTTACAAACAGGACGATGGAGAGGAAGGAGATGATCATCAGCATCATGTAGGCTGCAGGGTCTCCTCTAGTCGCTGTAACAGTTGGAAAAGACACATCAGACTTATAATTAATAACACAATTAAAGTACTGGCACTGTGTGACCCTTAAACACTTCAATGGTGAATATGGAACTGATATAACAGTCACGCAACTGGAGCATACCTGTGGTGTAAATTGGCTCCCCTTCTCCATCTGCAAACACAGGGTACAGGGAGAAGCCACACTCCTCAGATCCAAAGAAATCACCTGTAATGATATAGAGAAATGATTTTGGCTCAGTATACTTGCTCGTTTACAGTGCTGTAAAGAAATAAAATAATAAAAAGAACAGACAGAGAAGAGATCATGTTACCTCTTAGATATGTGGGACGGTCAGTGTAGGGAAGTCTGGCCCATGTTTCTCCACTCTGGCCTTTGTGATAACCAGAGTCCGGTTGCCTCTGTGGAGACCACTGGACCACCATGAACATGGGCACAGAGCTGTTGTCCAAGAGACTCCAGGACAGAGACACACAAGTGCTGTTGATCACCCTCACACTGAATGAACGCACACAGTGGCCTGCAGTATACAAAAGGAAAAAACTGAGTGAAAAAGGTGCTTTCAGGTGACAGAAAATAAAGTGTACTCCTTAGCATATAATCTCTATGTCTCTACTGGATGAATGAAATAAGATTCTGACAAAAATATTCCCTTATTTGGTGTTTTGATGGTTGTGGTGGAGAGCAACAACAACATGAGTCATTTTAGTTGTTTAGTCGCTAATAACACTGAAAACACATTTTCTCTGAATACTTATGGGAAAATGTCTAACAAACATGGTGAAGAAAAACTATTTTGATTCTGCTTACTTTTTTGTAATGCTTTTCTCTGAATTACGAGTAATGAGAGACACAAACAACTGTCTCACACACACATCAACATCCCACTGTATTACAGAGAGAACGGTCATTTTAAAAAAAACTCATTACCTCTGTCAGAGTGCTGCTAATATTACTACACTACAGCTAATGGCAGTAGGACCTCAATCAGTGCCTTTATGGGCTCTCAAGAGACACATGTGTCACGTTGTTGTGGCTGTTAATCCCCCCAGCTTTTATGTATAATGTTCTGCCATAAACTGGTTATAGTGGCAAAGACAAACGGTAAAAGCAGGTCATTGTCTCAGCTCACAACCTTAAAAATGGTAGCTAAGAAATATATTTCTGAAAGGAAATGAACAATGAAAAATGAAAAATAAATAAATAAATCTTCTGTTTCATTCACTTCTTTATTGTTTCCATCTGTCACATAATTTGGAAAAAAAGGAAAATATTACTGGAATACATGTTTTTTTCAGGGGTTTTGATTAAAGCGGACCTGGTTGTTTTCTTGCCAGTACATGAGCACCTGTGTCTCTAATGTAGCCCTGACCATGAATCATATATATCAACCTCACTATTGTAAACCTGAACTTTTTTTCACAATGGAATCTTTTGATCTCGGCTACAGTTTCCACGTCCTTACTGGAACATAACAGCATGGAACAGAATTCAAATCAGTGCTGAAGAAACTGTCTTTCAGTTTCTGTTTAGATTGGTCTTACATTTATGGTTTTAGACCACTCCTGAGTTGTTTTAAAGTCTGGTTTAGGTTGTTTCTGAATCATTGTAACAGAAACTTTATTCCCTTTTATAATCACATTTCTGTTTAATTCTGATTTGTTTGCCTTTATAGTGTAAAGCTGCATTTCCATCATCAATTCATCTTTGATTTTTTTCCCCCAAAACAAAATAACGTATTTGCCATTTAGTCAAAAAAGGGTCCAAAAAAAGTGAATTGAAAAATGTCAAAATCCCAATTTCTGAGAGCCCAAAATGATAACTTTAAAATAATATGCAACAGAGAGAAGCTACAAAGATTCACATTTAGAAAGATAGAACCACTGTATGTTTGGCATTTTGCTTGAAGGACCTAAATGATGATTTATCAACAAAATCAGTAGTAGTAGTAGTATTTGTTGCCTGGTTCAACTGGCAGATCATCTTAACATTCAAAAAGGCAAATCAAATGGCTAGAGAGAGTGTATGGACCACACTGTCCTTCCCTCACTCAAGCAAACCTTGAGAGTTCAGGCTACAGAACAAGAGAAAGGCTGTAAGATTACTGCAGTCTTTGCAAAGGACAAACAGTACTGTCACTGCAGTGCGAGTAATAGTTTGAATGTCCCTGCAATATTAATGTAATACCGACAATGTGGGACTTCATGTCCAAATAGTAGAATGGAGTCTGTGTATGTGTAAGAAAATCCCAGCTCACTCACGTTTGGGCTTTCTCTCCAGCATCATGTTGATGTTGTTAGCCGAGCTCCCCAGCCTATTGTAGGCCTCCACAGTCACAGTTTGGAGCACCTGGTTCCACTCAAAGCTGTAGGAAGACACCAGCTGGATCTTCTCCCTTATCACAAAGCCACTTGAGGTCTGGCGCTGGACTATAAATCCGTCCACGCAGTAAGACTGTCCTGACATTTGGAGATTCTGGGGGACAAACATGAGGAAAGTCAACATTTTTAATGCCATGTCTTAATTAGAAGCCTGAAAATGTTTATATTTCTGTTTGTGTACCTTGAACAGCAGAGTAACATTAGTCTGGTTTCTGTATGGATCATCCTGAAGGATTCTCCAGAAATCAGGGCCACGCTCAGGAGCTGAGGGGAGACCGACAATTGCATCACATGACAGCTTTTACCTCTGTGTTAGAGGTGGAGGAGATGTGTGTACGATTTTCCATTAGAGCTAAAATCAGAAGGTCAAATGTAATTTAATAGGTTACATCAGGCATCTAGCTTCACCTGTCAAAGTTGTCATAATCTTAAAAGGTTAGTGTTACTTAAAATGATGTTCAAGAGTGAAATGAATGGTGTTCTACTGTACCTCTGCTGTTTTGAGGTGTGGAGTACACAGAGTTGCTCCAGTCGCTCAAGTAGCCAGTGCCGTTAGTGGGCATGCAGCGTACTTGCACTGCATACTCCCGGCACATGTCCGCCACTGCGACCTCCGCCCACGGCACCCGCACTGGACTCTGGACCTGCAGGCATGACATTTTAGATTAGGGAAAATAAAAGTAATGGGAGGTAGTGCACATTTCAGCTATCTTTCCACTTTACCCAAGCAAAGAGAGACAATTAATTTAAAGTCAAAGTGACCAGCTGAGTCTATGTCAAAGCATCACGCATCATTGAAGGAGACATTAGACTGGATCTATGTGACTAAAATGTTTGTTCCTGTTCTTGGTAGATAAACAACTGTCTTAGGTAGGTAGAAAAACATTTTAGAAAGATAATTAGATGTAAACCATGTTGCTTTTTACAACAGAATAACAGAAAAATGTCATCCTGTTTCCTTATTAGGCAATAATTATACGCAAATTGGTGTTTAGAGTTTGCAACGCATTAGAGGTTGTCGTCTGTTGTCCTCGTCTATTAAATTGGTTTTCAATAAAGGTTAGTGAAATGCTGTCCAGGGTGCAGACAGGCTTACCTTCCACTCGGGCTGGGCTCGCATGGCGGATGGTGAGTGGTACCGAAACTGACATTGGAGCCCGTCGACCGGCAGAGACGGCGGCTCCCATGTGACCGTCAGGACCCCGCTGCTCTGGCTCACTGCCTTCACGTTAGTGGGTGTGTGGGGTTTCACTGCAGAGGAGATAGCATGAAAAGTGAGTGAGTTGGTCTCGTGCAGCAGCAGAACTTCTGATAAGGATGCTCATAGGTAACGGGAAAAGCCTGACAAGTATTCCTCAACAACAATCTTATGTCAGGCCGTTTATACTGTTTCTGTTCTTCTGGGAAAAGTAATGATTACTTTAACCTCAGTATTTAAAGGTTCTTTCTAACATACAACTTTTTCCCATATGAATATTTAATCCAGCAATAGTTTCCTTTGAAGTTCCATTTTGCCTGAAGAATTGCGCTTTGATGAATACAAATACAAGTTTTATAGTATGCCATTAAGATATTCCAGATATTCTTCAATATCTCAGTTAAATATGAAGAAATTGATGTTATTTAGATATTTAAAGACTCCCATTATACATAAAGTAATAACTTTCATGGCAATTAATGACGATAAGCAATTAACCTTTGATGAACAAGATGCCCTATTCAACTTCAGTGAGATAGTTAATCAATATTTCATTATTTGTGACCTGAAACAATGCATTGTGAATGACTGACTTATTGTTTAACTGCTTAAACAAAGCTGCATTTATAAAAATGTAGTAGCAGAAGGAGAATAATTTACACCGATATAAGACTAGAAGGATCTTCAAATCCAATCTTCATGCTCACCGTGATCTATGGGGGACAAGTAGATGGGTTTAGACCTGATAGGGCCAAGCCGAGACGGCATTTCCAGCCACAGCTTGTAGCAGTTCATCCTCAGGGGCTGGATGGTGCAGGTTTTCTGCTGGGATCGAACCTGCAGGCAATCAGGTCCCATCTCCCCCACATTCTCACCCGCTCTTTCCCTCTCCTCCATCACATCACACGGCAGGTCAGCCCACCTGCCGAGAAAATAAATGAGTTATGTAATCAGGATACAAAAAAGGTAACTGTAATCCACTACAGTTAGAAAAAATACATTCATTCCATTCATTGTTCTGTTGTCTTAAAGAATACACAAACTTTTGTGTTTTCACTTAAGTAACATTTTGAATGCAGGACTTTTACTTGTAAGAGAGGATTTTTACACTGTGGTATTGCTACTTTTACTTCTTCCATCCCTGCAAATCAGTACAGCTCAAACACCAATAGTACAGTATATACTAGATGCTTAGTTAAAACAATTAAAGGCCAATGGCAGTTTTTGGCGACTTAGGTCTTTTTTTTTTAGTTTTGAAAATCATTTCTATTGGTTATGACAACAAGGAACAAGGCAACGTGCTGGAATGAAGCCAGACGAGGCAACAGACAATCGTCAGATGATCAGACAGGTTGCAAAAAAGCCAACGGTTAAGTCAGATTATCAAAACCACTGTATGTGGAGGCAAAACTGAAAGCGAACACATCTAAAATGTCTGTAATAATGACTCGGCACGGTAAAAACTTGGTGCATGCACAAACAACCAGGATGTTGATCTGTAATGTATGAAGGATGTTTACAACAACAGTTTGGGGATTTATTTTTTTTAACTAATAAGTTTGGCTGACCTGGAAAAACCTGATGTTTGTTGCTCTTCTATCAGATCTCTGTTTAATGGTACTGCTACATTCCCACATCTCAGAAAATAACTTACCATAGCTAAAACCAGGAAATGAACATGAAATATACTTAAAATGACAACGCCTATCACTTCAAAGTAGCAAAACATTTCTTGTCTATTTTTTCCATTCCCATTTAAAAGATGGAGAATTTGACTGTACTGGAGTAAAGAAAGTCAGTTACAAAGTACAAAGCCTCCGCAGTACATGAATAGCAATGAAACAAAAACATCATTCTGTCAGTGCTCATTGTTATAGTCTGAGCTTCATTCTTATAGTGGAGAGACTTTCTGTTGCTATGAGGTCAAGTACCAATGACATAGTTTACTGCTCAAATAAACTTCCTGGTACCATTTCAAGGGTGTGTTCAATAAAGGTGCAGTCTGGTACACTGTGTTCAGCAACTTCCAGGTTTTCAGCACACTGAATTCTGAGCATTGATTCAAGGTTTCATTAACAATGCTTGTACAAACATCCAAATACACACTGAAACAAACATGTAAAATGTAAATTGCTGCTTTACCAGGATTTCAATTCCACTCGAGTCCGCTCTGAGCTATTCCACCTACAGTCCATAGCATCGATATCGCCGTTGGTTTCACAGTTTATATTTATGGACGCTCCTGAAACATGCAGAAACACATTTATGTAACAATAACAACATTCACCTGAGATAGCCTCTGTGCACAGGGATTCTTTTGGGTTTACATTGTTGTGCTGTCACATGTCCTCACTCTCTTTCCTGTCTTTGTCCACTGCAGCGGAAAACTGCTGCAAGAATAGACATGGACCTCCAGCAACTTAAAAACATCAATATCTGACTCTCACTACTGTTCTTAACCTTACATAAATTATGTATTTTTTCTACGTGAAAATGCACTAGTAATAGTCTTTAACATGATACACTGGTTCCCAACCTGGGGGTCCTGACCACCACTAGGGGTCACCAAAAGGCCTCTTTGATTTTAAGTGCAAGTGTGTAAGACAACTTTTTTTAACATATATACAGTTGACTTTTATCTTATTATTTAAGATATAAACTTACCACAGAGCCTTCACTCTGTTAAATAGCATAGTCCTACACAGTTAAAACAACCAAAAAGCTGATAGAACAATGGCAAAGTGAATCTTATAAAGTATGTATGATTGTTAAAAGTAAAAAAATACACAATACAGACAAAGAATTGTACAAAAAGTTCCTAAAATACCAGGAAAACTCACAGGAAATAATCTGCTCAAAATGAATCGAAATCGCTCGTTTAAGACAAACTTTCTGCAGCTGTATTCACTGTACAGTTTATCAGTTGTTCTGTACTGTTATTGTTATGCAGTGGATATAATATGAAATATACATAAAATATGTCACTTAGTCAAGGGATGTCAGTTTACAACCTGTGACTGAAAAGGGGTCCCTTTAAGAAAAAGGTTTTGAACCAGTGTGTTGAAGGATATACAGCTAGACAGTCATGTGTTCTCTTCATTTTCTTTTATTAGAAAATCTTGACTGTTTAAAACTGCATGAGACGGTAAAATATTTGATGGACATGTGAATTTCTCGATAAGAGGAGAATTTAAAAAAAGACGTGTTTGGAACTTGCAACATTTCTTTGCACAGATTACTTGAGCATTCATAGGACTCTTTGTAGTGAATTATTCAGGATTAGGAGGATCATCAATTAAATGCTTCAAAACATACTTTGATTAAATGACACCAGTAAAGGTAATGTTGGTGTCATGCCCTTCCTTTAAAAGGGAACACACACAGAACCAGCTTAAAGCAGTTTACAGTGATCTTAAAGGTATTTCATTCACTGTAAAACCTGGTGAGTTAGTTCAACTCAAACTGCTTGAGAAAACCGATCCGTTTAAGTTAATTCACTCAGTTTAAGCATGAAAGATATTTCATTTGAGTAACTCATATTTTTAAGGTAACTTAGGTAAATTTTGTTAATTGTACCCATTCCATTTAGTAAATGTAAGTTACTTATTTAAAATGTGTGAACAGAAATAAACTGAACAAAATTAAATACATCTCCATACAAATGTTGAATTTACTCAGTTTTCTTCCACTAAAGCAAATCATTACATTACCTGTCAAAACAGATGATGAAAACAGATGACATGCAATAAAAACAATTAATTAAAATGGTAATCAATTAATTTTCTGTGCTTTTTTTCACGTGACAATATCAAATCCTTACACTTTGTGCGAAAATTAAGAATTATATGGATGCATACTTGGGCTTACGATGATTAATAAACTGAGATGAAAAAAAAATAAAGTCAAGAAAACAAGTCAATTAAGCAAACTAGAATTATATAACCTGTACTTAAAATATTGCACAAATTTAAGTTCACCAAAAAAGTTGCTTCAATAATTATTCTTTTTTTTTTTAAATTAACTTTTTTGGCAGGATTGATTTATGTTAACTAACTTCTTTTATTAGATGTGTTTTCAGGTTTTACAGTGTTTAAACTCCCATTAAATGTATTCAGGTATTTACCCACTTAAACTTGCTGCTGATTTTAGCCCTATGGATAGCTCAACTCATCAGACATAATCACAAATTGATGGCTCATTACATCCCATCAGAACAAAACAGTAGAGGGCAGTAGACACCTGTGTCTGTCTGTGTGCGTGTGTGTATGTATGTGTATGTGTGTGCGTGTGTGCGTGTGTGAGAGAGAGGGCGAGAGTGAGAGAGAGAGGGAGAGAGTGTAGGTGTGAGACTGCACTGTTTCCAACTCCCCCAGGATCTGGCCCAGCCACCACTGCACACACAACAACGTGCCCCAGGTTAAATATTAACACAAACAAACTGGAAATATGATAATATGGCTCAGAAAATATTCAAATTGAAACTGCTTTGGGTACTTTTAGAGTGACGTGAGCCTCAGATGTAGTTTCAACTTTCATTATGTGATTTGACATTTATTGTACAGTAATTCATGTCACAGCCTTTGCCATTGGAAATCTTGAAATATTTTTTAAGTCATTTTTATATTTTTAATGCATCAGATTTTGAGCGGTACACAAATGACATACTTATGGCTCTGACAGTGATTTAGCGCTCTCAGGGTAGCATAGAGAACCAATTTTCAATGTTGGGAGGTTGCTGAGACTTGTCTCACAAATAATTATGTTTTTAACT